CAATGATATTTGGTAATTTTAGATGACATACAGTAAGTAGCTTATATTGTGGTAATTGATTAATGCAACCATATAATTATTTACACTAATACAGTACATGAAAAAGATGGTAAAACTCCACGTTGTTGAGGGGGATTGTCAGTGGTGCCTAAATTACTTTGAATTCGTACTCGAGTAAAAGTAGAAGTAATTGACAATAAAACAACTTGAGTAAGAGTAAAAAGTACTGGAAGCAAAACGAACTTAAGTAAAAAGTACAAAGTATCCCTCAAAAATATTTGAAGTACAAAGTAAAAGTACTATTGTCTGTGGCGTGTAGGGGGGGGGGGGCTTCTTCATTGATGGATTGAGATACAAAAAAACAACACAAAACAGCACACGCATTATAAATAAGCAATATTTCACGGCATGGTCTACTTTCCAGACCCCGCGTTGAAGATATAAGAAATCCATTAAATAAATAATACTTATACGTAAGCCACAAACGAGAGATCCCAGACCCATGTACCTATCCCAAAATTAAAATAAATCATGTAAAATTAAATAAAAGTTAGAAAGTAACGAAATACTTTTCCACAAAATGAAAATAACGAAGTAAAACGTTACTTCTTAAAACGACTTCGTTCCAAGTAAAAGTACTCCAGAAACAGTTTACTTTGTTACATGCTGACTTCTCAAAAATAGTACTCAAGTACAGTAACGAAGTAACTTTACTTCGTTACCTGACACCACTGGGGATTGTTGACATCAACATGGGCTTAGCTAGAGGCCCGTCCACCCATCATTTGGACGTTTTAAGTCGATTTTAACAAAAGCATCGGCGATTTTTTTCGTGATGTTTACTCTTCCGTTTTGAGTGCAATTTTACACGTGTTCTTTTGACTGCTAAAAATCACGTTTAGAGCTGTGCGCCGGAGTACCGGAGGCGGAGATCCGGCATATTTTGCCGGAGCTGGAGCCGAAGTTGGAAAACTCCGGCAGACAAAATTATGAAAAATTATTTCATATTTCAATGAACTTTTGGTAATGGAAAAATTAAGTTGAATGATTTGAAGTTACTATAAAGTTTAATTACTTGCTCCGATCCGATTCGTGGCTTCGAGAATTCTGCAAGCGCATTGCTATCGCTTTTGGATACAAAAATCCGCTGACCCCGATGTGTTTTGGGCGAAAATACCACTCTACCATGCGGTTTTACTTTCTACAGAAACATTGTTTAAACAAGCACCGAAGCATGTATATTTGATTATACATCCGAAGTGGTATGCTTGGTTCACCTTTGAAACTCGCCCCTTATTGAATTCAATTAAATCGCATTTTAAATTAAACCATCCTTTTATGCGTATGTCAGTTATACAGTTCATCAAGAGAGCCCTTCCACACTTGGGACATTTTAATGAGAAATTTATCGTTTTAATGAATAACACACTTTATTGCCCAACGCAACGCGCGATGAAGAGCAGTAGTAACTACTGATGGTTATCGTTTTACTTTATTCTTTCCACAACTACGTTATTCTTTCCGCACAATAAAAGTCAATATTTACCGATTACGTTACCCAAAGTAACGATCGAGGTAACGATTACATTTAACTTCATTACTGTACCTCGACCACGTAACGAAGTTGCTCACTCGTTGAAGCATATGTTCATACTTGTTTCAACCACTGTATGGGCGTGGTGAGTTTGATACATTTATCTAGGCATAAGGTCTGGCTTACCTCTTTGCCTGTCTTATACAGGGTGGTATAAAAACATGTTCTTTGATTCATAAAACCAAAGGGTGTTCAATAACTGTATGCAACTCCGCCAACAAATATTCACGCGTAAAAGTATACGCGCATTATGTATTTATTTATTTTGCGCAACCTGGAGAAGCAAAAACGTTTTATACAATTCTCATCCAATTTCAACCAATTTCAAACAAAATTTCATGTAATATTTCAATTCCGACTATGAGGACTGGACTAGATTTCAAGTTCGCGCAATTTGATCAAGCTCGAGGCGAAGCCGAGGACTGGATGTTCCCTTGAAATCTAGTCCAGTCCAAGTTGGAGGATTTGAAATGACATCTCATACGAATAAATCACTACTTAATGTGAGGTGAATTAATTTTGATCCAGTCCAAGGACTGAATTAATTTTGATGGATCAATATACTTTACCAGGTATCCAGTAATACAGTATTATCATTAGGAGTAGACCATTAGATATCCTGGGAGTGGAGATGGCAGATCCCAAAAGAAAATTCATGCAAAGAGTGGAGTTTGAAAAAAAAAAAATTAACAAAATATAAGAAAACTATAGGCTGTAAAGCAAACACACAAACAAACATACATACAAACATAACATCCTGGCGGGGTAATTAAATATCTTGAACATGTACATTGTCATTGAATCAATTGTTAATTTTCTAGATATTACGATCAACTTGTTTCCATGGAAAGTAAACTACCCATATCAGAAAATCAGGTAAATGACAAACTGCGAAGCAATAAAAAACTTCATTCTTCATATTGGCTTATTGCCATGTATACATGACGCACCTGCGTCTGGTGGTATTGAGTAAAAAGGGATGACCTTTTATTCAAATTTAGTAATTTACTATTCAGTAAGATTATGTATATGTACACAATATTCACGAATGTGAAAGCATCACACATACAATTATATTTAGATGGAAAATTATCTTATATATGCATGTTTATGCTTATAACAATCGTATAACTTTCAATTTTTGTCTACAGATTCGAATTACATTCTCATGGTATAATGCTTTTGATAAAGGTTCCTGGTTATCCAGTGACAAAGCAGGTTTGTACATCATAGTCATGCATGGGCACGATTTAAATCCTCAATAATATCTTCATTGCTGTATTGTTTGGATACAAAATCTGGAAATGATTAAACGAACACAATTTGTGGAGTAAAAGTTAACAGCTTCTATGACGAATTCGAAAAGCACATGCTCAAAACACCGTTTTTGCTTTCATTTATCTAGTGTTGAATTTTCAACCTTACGTTAGAGTATATCATTTATTTATTATAGCCCTTGCCAGTGCTTCCTACGAGAAAATGTGCTTGTTATTCAACATTGGAGCATTACAAAGTCAAATTGCTGCTTCCCAAAACTTAACATCAGATGATGGCTTGAAAACAGCAGCCAAATATTTCCAGGTAAATAAGCATTACTCATCTAAAGTCATCTTATATTCCATCCATGCATACATGACACTAATAACATACATTTTGTTTCTATTAGGCATCTAGTGGAACATTCCAAATGATTAAAGATAAAATTTTCAGTGTTCTACATCAAATTCCTACCTCTGATTTGTCACTGGAGTCTTTGACTGCACTTATTGCCATTACGTTGGCTCAAGCTCAGGAGGCATTTTGTTTGAAAGCTATTCAAGGTACAATACAGTAAATGTTGCACATCTGTGGAATACTAGCTATGTCTTTGAATGACTAAGATTCTCTAATTTTGTATTCTGGAGCCAGTTGTTCAAAGCTGGGTTAGCTTAACCCTAGGTTGACCTTCAATTCACAGCAAACTTCCCAACAGCTTGTTTATAAATTTGGAAATATTTCTTTAGAAATCTTGTCTGAACCAGTAGGAGTTTTCTTCTTTGAAGTTTTAAAATAAACAGACGTGCAGAAATACATAAAATAAAACAGCAGGTTAAATTTTAAACGAAGGTTAACGCTAATCTAGCTTTGGGTCCTTTTTGAATCCACAATTAACTCTTTTTTTTCTCAAAACTGTGCATTTGTTCGGTTAAACAAAATTAGAAGAACGTGTGTCAGTGAAAATATAATTTTAAAAATATTACTCCATGCAGTTCAATTTTGTCAGAATGGAGTTTGAAATTTACATTTCCAAAATTACAGATTCCCGCGTTGACCCACTAAAATACTGTGTACGAGATTGCTAAAACACCTGTGCAACTAAAGCCCCACTGGAACACTTCCATACTGTGGAAATTTCGTAGAAATTTTATAGAAATACCTAAAAAAGGTTTGGAAATTCATTTTCCAAAGTTTTCCACACTTCCATAGTATGAAAATCCAGAAAAAAACGTGGAAATTTTCTAGAAAGCTAGAAAACCAAGGTATGGAGAAGGTTCAAATTTCAATGGCGGCGGAACAGTTGTTGTTGTTTTTTGGGGTGGGTGGACTAACTTCCATAAGTTGGACAGTTGTTGTTTTGAGGGAGCTAACTTCCATCGTATCTTTTTTTAAGGGGGGGGGGGTTAGAAACTGAAATTTTCGCCACTGAAATTCTCCAGTTTGAAACTGCTTCTATTCTCGATAACCTCATTTACATGCGTTTGGAAATAACGCTGCGTCTTACCGTCTCTTTGTCGCATTATTGTACTATAGACGTATCTTCTTAGAACTAAAGCCTGTTTTCCACTTCAACCGTATCGTAACGTATCGTAGCATTTTCTTTTGTGTCGACATCATTAGTTCCACACTATATACCGCTCAAGAAACAAAGAAATACACTACGTTTCGGTACGACACGATTGAAGTGGAAAACCGGCTTAATGTTATCCCGAAAAAAGTGTGCATGAATACACTATATGCATGTATGAATTAACAAATATAAAACATTTTCCGTGTTGATATACAGTTATATCAACACGAGTGGAAATTGGGAAAACGAGAAATTGTGTGGAAACACGACGCCCGAAGGGCGGAGTGTTTTCACACAATTTCGAGTTTTCCCAATTTCCACGAGTGTTGATATAACTGTATATCAATACGGAAAAATGTTTTATATTTGTTTTATAATATAGCACAAAGAAATATAAAGAAAGAAATTTTCCGACGTTTCCGTGTTGACATTGAGTTATATCAACACAGCTCTTAGCCAATCAGCGTTCAGAATTTAGAAATGCTATATTATAATACACTATGTGCATGCATGAATACACTATGTGCATGCATTAATAATCTATTTAGAAAACTGTATAGTGTATTAATGTACACTTTTATAGGAATAACATTTAGTTTTACATTTGCTGAAACTACCTGTAAACGCGTATCAGTCTTCTTATTTACTGAACTTTCCTATGACTTCATGTACACACATTATAATTAAAATATCACATTCATAATGTTTTGTTATCTTGTTGTTTAGACAAAATGAAAGACTCTATCATTGCTAAAGTTGCATCCCAAACCTCAGATTTCTACAGCAGTGCAGTTCAAGCTGCTAATGTGACCGCAGCAAGGCAACTGTTTGACAAGGTACGTACAGTAAACTGCGTGTTTTAAGCAGACTTTTAGTCAGGGTGTCAAAATTGGCCGTCCAAAAAGTACCGTGGGAGTGGCAACCTATTTAAAAAAAAAACATGGCACATGAAATCAATTGTCATATGCTCATAATTCAGCGTCTTTAGACAAAGAAAGTATCTGGACGCATGTAATATATAAAATAAATAGCAGCTGACAACTTTTGAGGTGATCAATTAAGAAACCGCAAACCTTGCGAGTTGCTGTTTAAAGACAACATCTTCATAAGCCGTTTATTAAGAAGTGGCCGTATATAGTATAGGGCTGTTGGACGGCCGTCTGGCTGAAGGCCTAGACTTTCAAGTCAGCAAAGAGAGTAGTTCTATAATCTGTTTAGAAACTATTTTATATGTTTCTGCACATAGGAATGGATTCCAATGTTGTCTGGAAAGAAAAGTTATTTCACAGCACTAGCAGAGTACCACCAAGCCGCTGTCGCTAAAGATAAAGGGACATATGGGGAGCAGGTTTCGCGACTGAAGGTATAATTCATCTCTTTCAACACAGACATCTACCCTTCACAATTTTTGTCTAGTAGTAGGACTGATTAAAACTGGGAGAACGAGACGGTATATAGGACTTCCTTAAGCATCTTCCCATTCCAGTAAAAATGCCCAAACTGTTTAGGCAAAGAGAGTGGCGCTATCACAAATATTATTAATTACAGCTACATATGTTATAGTAAAAACATTAACTGTTTTTAGGTAGCAATTGATCGCATCTCAGACACAGTCCGTGTAAGCCAAGGCACAGTGAATGTTCAGGTAGTGTATGAGAAAATTAGTTTCCGAAATTATTGTTCCATCTTACATCTTCATCTGAATTTTATATATTGACGGCAGAATACAGCTAAACTCAAGCATGCGCATTGTGTTCAAGAAGGGAATTTGTGTGTGCCTACAATAAATCAATATGTCAACCCAGTTTAATCTTTATTTTTTGATCTGGACCTTTCCGTAGATGTTTTCAGAATTTTAATCCCACAATTGTGTATTGTGTTAAATTTCAACCTTATTTTTAAACCTCCTTAGGAATTTGTTTGCGTCGCGGAATTGATTAACCAAAAATTACACGATACAAAATATGTATAATTACATATATGCATAAACGAACACTGGAAAAAAATTGAAAATCCATAGAAGGTCATAGAATGGAAATTGTATGGACTTTTATTGGAAATAGCATGGATTATCCATAATAATTGTATATTTCCATACCATGGATATAGTATCGAAATAGTAAGGATATACTATGGATTTAAAGATACAATTGTAAATTTTATAGTATGGATTTCACATTTTTTGGAAGTTGCTGTTTGCAAGACGAAATAAATCATTTGTGAATTTTTGTCTTACAGACATGGTCAGAGAAAATCAATCGTGCTCATAAGGAGGCAAAGAAAGACAATGACTTTATCTATCATGATCAAGAGCCTCGACCTGATGCACTTCAGCCAATTGGCCGAGCTGCTCTGGCGAAGCCTACACCTATGGGAGATGCTCCAATTACGAGTAATTTCAAAGATATTTTTGAAAAGTTGGTACCAACCGCCGTACATCAAGCTTTACAAGCATTTGAATCAAGACAAGCGGAAATAACAAATATTGAAGTTGGGCGGTCAAGAAATGCAACTCAGGAATTAAAGGGGTATGGTATAGCTCATTAAAAATATCCATCATTAAACAAGGCATGATGTTCCAAATTAGCGCCGTTGCGCATAAAATCATAATGTCTATTCCAGCGCCGGAATATGTCTGGCAGTGCAGCACGGCTGCCAGGAACATTCAGCTTATTGTTTAGAAATTCCCAAAGTGTTTTGCAAGTCGAGATTGTTTTGTGTCGAGATTGAAGTTTATCACAGTGTGCGGCACCATATATACGTTCTCTGAAATCTAAATATGCAGGATGTTTTATATTTAAAGACTTATACACAGGAATTTTTTATTTTTGGATTTTGCTGCCACGTCTATATTCTCACGTGAAACGTCAGTGTTTTTTAAGATTACAATTCCAGTGTTTTTATCAGGGCGTTTATATACAGTATATATATCGTATGCGTCAAGGACGGATTTTCATTTTTTTTTAAAGGAGGGATTGAAAATGTTGATGGGGTTGAACACTTTATAAGAGAGGTTAGAGAGATTCTAGGGGGGGTTAACCCCTCCTAACCCCCCCCCCAATAAATCCGCCCATGGTATGCGTCGCTCTATATACAAGTGCTCTATGTATGCACCGCCCAGGTTTTTATCTGTTATTGTTCGTCCGTCTATGCAACCGGTCGACTCTGCCACTCTCATGCTTCGCTTTGTAAATGCAGGCGTCCAAAGTTTTATTTCCAAACAATCATATACAGTATCTTTGTTTTAGTATGTTGGCCTCCTTAAATTTACCTGCTGCCATTGAAGATTTATCTGGTGAACAAGTCCCCAAATCTGTGTTGGAAAAAGCTGCTTCTGTGCGAGAAAAAGGAGGACTTGGTGTCATTGATCATCAGTTGCAAGCCTTGCCTGATCTTTTAAACCGAAACCGTGAGATTTTAGATGAGGTTAGTTGCTATAGCAACTATAGATTAGTTATCCATGATAGCAGTCGAAAACAATACATTAGCGGTTACTAATAATTTCTAAGGTTGCAGCAAATAAAGAGCAGTTATATATTGGCAACCTAAATTCGCACACCCAATATTTCGCTAAGCGCCCGCTACTGATAAAAGAACATTGTTTTGTTCTGGGAGGAATGCAATAACCACTAACATTGGATTCATGTCCGTTCCAGACTGGATAACATTTAACCAAACCTCGTTCCCAGGCTCTCTCCTCTGCACTCCTATCTCGTACCCAGAGCGAAATGGGTACGAGATTGATCATGCATTGGCATGCAGAAAATTAATTTTGTAATTGTGTGCGCCTGCTTGTAAAACTTTTCTCTTTAATAACCGTTCGTACTTGCAAATTTAAAATTATATAACATACTGGCACCTTGTTGTTGACTATCATTTGAAAGTGTGCACTTCTTTCACAAACGTAGAACTGAGGATGTGGTACGGCACGTGTGGCATATGCGCGGTTAACGCGTTGCCTCTCACCACTGAAAAATTAAACCATTACTGGGTCGGTGACTATACCTGGTAAACCCTAACTTGAACTCGAGATTCATGTGAGTTGAGTTGTCGTAGTTGATCTCTCGTATCTTGGGCGGTTTTTCTCTGAGTTAGAGATAGTTAACGTCAGAGTTCGCTTTAGGATTGGGGTTAGGATTGGGGTTAGGATTGGGATTAGGATTGGGGTATGGTTTAGCGTAAGGTTTATAGGATTGTTATAAGTACATGGTTATTGATATTACAATAAGCTGTTTTATCAGAATATCAGTAAACGTTGCTGTCTTCCATTAGGCTGCTCGCTTGTTGGACGAAGAAGAAAGACAAGATACTCAGATGCGAGAACATTTCAAAGAAAAATGGACGCCCAAACCATCAGCTGAATTAACAGTGAACTTACGTGAAGATTGTGCCAAATACAGAGCGATCGTTGAAAATGCAACAAACGCTGACAAGATTGTTAAAGAAAAATACAATACCCATCGGAAGTCCATCGAACTGCTCTCCAAATCTGATGTAAGAGTACAGTATTTAGATTCTTTTTTTTACACACATATAGTTGGTGTCTTGTTGAAAAGAAAGTTGTCCATAATGAATATTGCAATATTGCAAAGTTGTACAAATTGAGCTACAAATTACTGTAGCTATAGTTGGGGTTAACCGTAGGGTTTGGGGTAAGGGTTGGGTAAGAGTTGTTAACCCTAGGGTGAGGATTTATGGTTAGGGTTGGTGTTTAACCTAGGGTTGGGGTTGCTAGCTGCAGTGTTTATAGTATCCAATGCGGTTAGACTGTACCTTACGCTGATTACAGTAGTTCGTTTTATTTGATTTTTTTGAGAAAAATATACCTTTCTAATTTGCTCTCTACAATCACAAATGTTAGGTTTATTAATATTATAGAACTAAGTAGTATTAATTGTGTGATTCTTTTTACTGTACAGCCTAAGACAAAGTAAGGGGCTGAATATTAGAAAAATGATGGGCGCGGGGGGAGGAAGGGGGGTTCAGCTTGCACAAATATTTTTCGCTCATCTGCTTATGTTGGAAGATTTTTGCGGAATTTTAAAGGTATTTTTCTTTGCTTTTCTCTTCGCAAGTATTTTTTCTAATGATCCGCCCCTAAGTGGTCTTCAGCAGGGACCTATACATGATGCGCTTCCATCAACATATTAGTGTTTAATCACGTTAACATTTGTATTTTGTGTTAAAAAATGAAGTATATAATTCACATATCCAGGGAGAGATTGCAAGTAGTCTTCCAACAGTTCAGACATCTGGTCAGACAGCAAGTCCTGTAGTCTTGGAGTTACGTAAACTTATGGAAGAAGTCGAAACCATTCAGGCAGAACGTGAAGCTGTTGAAAGTGAATTTACATCACCATCTCAAGATATGGGTGAGAATATATAATGCTTAATTTGTTGTTATCCTAACTTTTTATCCAGATATACAGTATTCAGTAAAAGATTATTTTTATCGAGGGGTGCATCACTCGTACTCACATTTTATCGAGGGGTACATCATATAAAAAGTGTATGAGATTTCGGTGGTTTCGAAAATCCCGTGGGATTTTTGGATTTTTTTCGGGGTTTGGAGAGATTTTCTGGACTTTTGGAATATTTTAGGGATTTTATAGGAATAAAAAATTTTATAGGGATTTTTTAGAGATGTTTATCGAGATGTACTAGACGTTTTGAAGTGGTACACCCTCGAATTTATAATGTAAGATAACTGAATTAATTATTTCCTCAGCTATTTACAATCACAGTTTAAAGTACAGTGATTTCATACACTATTTAGTACAGCGATTTTCTAATCCCGATCTTAACACATATTAATACCTAATATTAATATGTGTTAAGATCGGGATTAGTAATACATACATAATAATACATACCCTAATATTAACCATTTTCCTTACCCTAATCTTATGTCCTAACGTTAACCCCAATCGTAACCTAATGTTAACATGAACCGAAGCTATTATGACGTCATTGGGTAATGTTGGTTTTGGTAATTTTTCATTTCCAGCCGCGAAATTCTTGGGTGCTCTTGCTGCAGATGGAACGATTTCAGATCTTGAAGGAATTACATCAAGTGGTTTGGACGAAAAATATAATCCTTTGAGAGAACAAGTTGAAGATTCATTAAAATGTCAAGAAACACTTTTGAGCAAAATCAAGGTGTGCAAATAAAATACACGAAAAATATCGTAGGAAATATGGGCTGTCGTAATGAAGTCGAATCGAGAGTTAAGCTCAAGGTTTCCGGCTTAATATACCAGCGCTCTGACTGCTGAGCTATTGGAATGCCCGATTGCATGATGTATCATTAAACGGCGCGAGCTCCGCTCTCAGGCACCCAGAGTAACAAAATCTAGTGTAAGACGTTTTGCAGCCACCTTTGAAATTTTGCTCGCAGGCACAAAAAAATATCAATGAGCTCTGTTGAGACGCTCGGGAACATACATTCAACACAAAATACCTAATCTACATACGAGACAAGCTCTGCAGATATGATTGAATGTGGAATGATTGCTGTCTTGAGCAGCGTATAACACCAAGTTGCAGTTCGTGCGTGAGCAAGACAACGAAATAGGAAGACGAAGGCGTACTTGCCCATTTGCGGATTATCTTGCGAATACCAAGCTGGGGTCACTGGTGGTTGCTCAACGTGTCTTCCCGTTGTATATTCATGTCTCGCTGTTTATGAATGCTAATCTTTACCCTGACCTAAGCGAAGGCAGAAGAACGAGGACGGGATATGGAACCATGTCTCGCTGTTTTGTCAGGGTAAGGATTAGGTTCAGCATTCATAAACAGCTAGACATCAATCTATAACCCGTCTTCGATGAACAACCGCCGGTGACCCACAAACTCATGTGCAGACTGTCAAACATTGTCAAGTACGTCTTCATCGTTGTAATTCGCTCCCTTGCTCAAACTCTCTATTATATATCGTATGGGCCTACGACATGCATGGTTATATGCAACGTTTTTTCATCAGTTCACCGTCAAATTTGTATAATTCTACCATCTAACAAGGTACAATACTCTGGCACCGTACATACAGTAATTATTCACTATAACGAAATCAAGCGTCTCGTAAATAATCTTTTTTATTCAGGAAAAAAACGATAAATTTGTTGCTGAGAAGACGTCAGGTCAAGCTGCAAGCCAAAGAGAAAAGATGTTAAAAGATTTGGCTGCTGCTTATGATGTTTACACAGAATTGACATCGAATTTGTTTGAGGGAACAAAGGTTGGTGTCATGACAGCAGACAGCGTAGTGTTTCACATTTTGTATGCAGGGCTGCATGAATGTATATAGTAATCAGTGGGTTTTTCCCAGCGAGCTCCATGTATATCTGGAGTGAGAACTCGAGTCTAAAAAGTGAAGCAAAGACGAAGCTATTAGCCATTCCGAAGTTGATGAGAGGACTGGGGACGAGTGTTAAAAGGTGCCCAAATTAAGAAATGAACCAAATCACTAAAAAAAACGCCTCAAAATTAGTAAGTATACAAAGTTTGAAAACGTTTACATGAATACCCTTCGAATAATAAGCTTTCGAAAATCGCGATATTTGTATAGGTAATCATGCGATGGCGAGTACAATTAGGGATTAATAATTACTTGTTTATTATTAGCATGACAAAATTGGATACGTACTTTTCAATGTCAACGTCATATTCTCTCGCCAAAGCCCAGTCCTGCCAGACTTTCAACCAAAATTTGGTGCTTTTGTTTGTATTTTCATTTAGTTCTTTTGTTCAAGCAAAATTTGGTGCTTTTTTTCGTATTTTCATCTAGTTCCTCCACGGCAATTTCATTTCGCAATTGCGTTTAAAATACCTTTCCACCATTTTGTTTGTTTTGGGAAAATCATTAATTGTACTGCAGTACAATTAATGAAATAATTGTACTCCTCTCAACCAATCAGCATCCAGTAATTTTGTCATGCTAATAATAAACTATGGAATGTACTGTAATTTTTGTTTTTGGGGACGCGCGTCCCAAAACGAATCTTTTAATCAGTAATTTCACAATTTTCGAAAGCTTATTATTCGAAGGGTATTCATGTAAACGTTTTCAAACTTTGTATACTTACTACATATAATTTTGAGGTGGTCTTTTTAGTGATTTGGTTCATTTCTTAATTTGGGCAATTTTTAACACTCGTCCCCAGTCCACTCATCAACTTCGGAATGGCTAATTGGACGTCAGTTTTAGTCCCTTTCTATTGTTTTTGTCTGCGCGGTCAGACATGAAGCTGCAAGGAGTGTGTGAAATGGGTTTATAAACTGATAACCCGATTAGCGATACAGTCCGTTAGAAGAAACTGGAATAACATTAGTATAGAAAAACAGCATGGTAAAACTGTGTACGACCTTCATATTGGACGTCAATTCCGACCATCTTGGCTTCATTTATTTTACTAGTGTACTGATGTTCTTGTTCCAGATGACTACTGATCTTGCTGCAGTATATATAGAGCTCACTGCTTTTCCCAACTCCCATTTTGGAAGACAGAATTCTTATCCAGTCTAGAGGGGAGGGGCAGTTACAGGAGAAAGGGTTGATAATTCGAGACGGAGTAATGAATACTCGGCTTTTATGCCTTTTATTTTCATTTTCATTTGTAGTCTTCTTTTGTGGTATTTTTCTTCCCTCATTCCCTAGCAAATATTGATTACATACATACGTTTTCCCCTTTAATATACAGTATTTTATCTATATATTACATATTTCGCAAGAGCAGGGAACTCCCACAAGAAACCCCAATCACAGGGTTCCTATACTTAGTTCACTTATTATGACTGTGAAATATCAAATATGTGAACAATATTTATAGTTAAACAATAATTGGTACATATATTCTTACTCGATTTTATTATTGTGTAGTTTTATAACGACCTAACAGAAATTTTATTGAAGTATCAAACAAAGATATCAGATCTTGTGTTTGCACGTAAAACTGAGAAAGAAGATCTCTCCAGGTAAGAGCAATGATATTTACAGTAAGTCATTAAAATACTATACTCAGACCATCCAGCTGACAATTAATCAAGAGTCATGTGTAAACGAAACTTTCAAGTCCTATAGGCTTTCCTAGTAGCATTGTATATTCATTTGAGTCTTAGACTAAGGTAGGTTTATTTAACCCCAATAAGACAAAAGTCATGCTTTTCTCGACTAGTCAACTCTCTCGTGTTCACCAACTTGATGAAGATCGTTCTGTTCATCTTCATGCTAATGGAATTGAACTTAAAAGAACTAAATGTGCGGCTCTTCTTGGTACTACATTGCATCAAAATTTAAAATGGAATGATGATGTAAACAAAAAGATCTCAAGTTGTTACGCGACATCATCCGTCTTGAGAAAATTGAAACATTTGGCACCATTTAAAATTCGGAAGCAACTCGCGGAGTGTCTGGTGCTATCAAAAATTGATTACAACGATGTCATGTCTAGTCCAGTACCAGAATACCTATTAAAACGCTTACAACGAGTGCAGTTCGCTGCTGCTGGCTTTGTATTTAATAGGTACGCTAGATTCACTGATGTCATGTCTCTCGGTTGGCTTCCAATTTTGGAACGTAGGAATTATCATCTTGCCAAATTAGCATACAAAGCAATGAATTGTGATGACTGGCCTTCATACTTAAAATTAGAGGAATTTATTCCTATAAGAACATTACGATCATCATCTGCCCGGCGTCTAGTAGTCCCTATTATCTCTGGAACCTTCCAAGATGAAGCAGCTCGAGTGTTCAATTCTTTACCTGAAGAAATTCGAAACTGCGATACATTTAAAGATTATTGCAGAAACTCCTCCGAGTACTTCAAAACATTAGTCAAAAACAGAATTTATAGTGACACGTCGTAAACTCTGTTGACATTGTGTGTATAACTATACTGTATTTTACTGTGAAAAAGTAATGTCAATTGTTAAATACTGTAATTTACAACATACTACGTATTGTAATACTTGTTGTGTCGTATTATGTACTCCGTTGTATGTATTGTATACTTTGTTATCTTATAATCAATCTCACTTGTAGCATAGAAGAGCCACTATGTGGAAATGCTATTAAATTATTATTATTATTATTAGATGACATGATTGTTATCTGTTCCACAGTTCGAAAATGTCCGGTGAACTGCAAATTCCGCAAAATTTCATATTTTGTGAAAACTTTATGCAAGCATGCATGGTAGTTTGTGGGGTCTGCTAGTATTTTTACCATTAAAGTTATTTTGAAAAGTAAATTTTCAAGTGCGGGAGAGTTGTTTTTAAAGATCTGTAAAGTCTGTAATGTAAACAAACGCTTTGTTTACATTTTGTACTCAGGTGCTACAGTTGTAAAATATAATTAGATATATATTATACTGAATTTTTAACACTCTTCTGGTTCGCTATGCTTGTAAATGAATACAGACTAGAGATTCAATATTAATAACATTCCAATGGTCGGGTCAATGTAGGGCTGCGCCGAACGGACTTTACAGCATCTTTAAAAAACACTTTTAAAAAATGGACGACTTCAAACGCCATTTGAATTCATAGGATGCAAATTTAGAAGGTGGTTTATGAACTATGAAAGTACCAGACAATTTGATATACATTAAGTCCAACGCGAGACCTGTAAAGGATCGTTTACACTTGCAATTTTTGCTGCGATTTTCTTGTTCTGATGAATGTGAACAAGTGGATGAGTTATTTATGGTCAGATGAAGCTACATATGCTCAGAATATTAATAGTTCATCCACTCGTTCACATGAATCAGAAGAAGAAAATCCCACTGGAAATTGCAGCAAAAGCTTTAACCTTTCTCTTTTTATTTTGTAAGGTTAGATTTTTAACGTGATTATATCACATATAGTACAGTGTTGTGGCCATTATAATTTTAATTATACGTTTATGTTTATTTCCAACAGAGAGCTGCAGCAGTCTCTGGCAAATACTCCAGTAGGTGCAGTACCAAATGTACCGAAACATCATGAAGGTAGGATATTATCATGCGTTTCAATATTCTACATGCAGATAATCTACGAAGATCGACTGTCTTTTGGTTTTTGCCGAGGTTTTTGCCAGACTACCTGAAAATGATTATTAAAGCCTGGTTTCCATGTGATCGTAACTGTCGCGAACGTGTTGTAACTGTCGTCAGAGTAATGTTCACGACCAAATGGAAACATGAAGAAAAGTCTTGTCGCGACACACTGGCAACAGTTCACGACAGTTGCAACAGTGTCGTCGAGATAGACTCGAGTTCTATCTCGACGACAGTTGCGACAGTTGCGACAGACTAAAAGCGTGTCATGACGGTTATTTTTTAATGGAAACAGAAAAACGACGGCAACAGTTTGTCTTTTAAAACTGGCGCCAACTATTTAATTGTACGATCCCTGGATACGAAATTGCGACAGTGGATGACAGTGTCACGACAGTACAACTATATAGAAACAAGCATAAAAATCATTCCTGACGACAAACACTTCACGACACGTTGGCGACACATTGGCGACAGTTACAACCATATGGAAACCAGACTTAAAAATGAAGTGTTCTGATGTTTTCACGTAGTTACAACAACAACATTTAATTGTAGTCCAACACTGAATGCAGGGTGCGAATTAACAGCCTATATTTGATAAATCGTCATGCCAGAAAGCACTTTTAGCGGCCTACAATTTCAGCTTTAAACAATGGCGGGTTTTTGGTGGAAATAGTGGGGGAGGTGGTTAAAGTATTTTGCTTGTTTACAAACAGCGTCGGTTATGTATGAAGTATATAAAGAAGTGTAAGTAATCACCTGACTAAGAGTTGTTTGCACTTTTCATTAAAAATTTAGCTCCAGAACGTCCCAAGCCCCCAGCGCGACCATCTAGACCTCCACGTAAAACAGATACCCCTCAAACACCTCCTGTAACTCAACAGCCCCCTGTACCTCAACAACCCCCTGTACCCCAGCAAGCTGCTAATTTACCACCACAATATCCAGCTCAAGGTTACCCTAACCCCTCAGCACCCTACCATAGTCCCCCAGGAGGATATCAACCTATGCCAGCACCAGGTTACCAACCCTTTCCGAACTATGCCCCTCCCGGAGGTATTGCTTCTATACCACCCGGATATCCGGGATACCCTGCAGCTGGAGCACTGCCTCCAACATGGCATTACCAAGGTCAGGGATATCCACAACAACAACAATATCAACAATATCCTTACCAAGGCTATCCGTATCAAAGTCCACCTGGCGGGTATCCTAGACAGTAATACTGTGATCTTCAAGACATAGTCTCAAAGACAGTAAAATTACATTATAGTTAAGACAATATAGTCAAGGTATTATCTAGAGCATTAATGTGGACAACTGAACAATTGTGGTGATATCCATGAGAGTAAAATTAAATATCCGTTGGGAATGTAATAAGTAAGACAGTTGCTGATACTGTCTGAATTGCATATCAAAATACAAAACCCCTCGATCCATTACAGTCAGTCAATCAATCAATTAGTACTTTCCTCTATTAAAGGTTAGATAAGTTAGGTATAAGACACTTGTAAAACATATTAATGTATTTTATACAAAAATTAAAAGTTAACTTTATCATTGCATTATTTTCATGCCAATGTTCGTTTAAAAATTCTACTCGTAACACATCCTCGATAATGGATAATATACAACGTTATTTAGATTATTTTTCACGTTTAAATCCGTGCAGCTATACTCAGATTTTCCTATAAATTTATGGGCTGATATATTATAGTCTATTAAATGTTGAAGGATTTTTCGAATATGGAAATTGCAGGTGGAAATGATTTTAGATCTAACCAGGAGCAGTTAAGAAAAATGTATACAATTTAGTGTAAAGATTATATGATTTCCATCCGAAATTTCCATCTTCGAAAAACCACCCGTCTACATTTAGTTCTATCGAGTGAGATACCTAAAATCCTGATATATTATAGTCTATAGTTTTTTCTCTGGCATTGAATTGTACTTATCTCTATAGAACTAGGGCTTTTCCTATCATGCAACTATTGGGGGGGGTATAAACAGCAGGTTGCATCTTGGTAGTCACGTTTTGGAGTGCTGCATGATTAGGATGAAGGCCCCATGGTTAAAGTCGGGCTAGATTGAAGATTTTATTCTCCTGGCATTATATATGAAATAATCGAATACCATGTTAATTATTGCATCAACCAGCAATACCTGCACCAAACTGCAACCTGCAGTGGAGACACTCTGATGTATCTGTCGCACCATTATGTCTGGAAACACCATTCATTTGATATTTAAAGTAAAAATATTCTTTACTTAAACCTATTTTGAAAATATCCCCTACGATAGAAATGCTATCCAATATATTGCATTAAATAACATGAACGTTAATGGGAAGAAAATTCTAGACAACTCATCAATATCTCGAACAGTCAATCTATGAAGATATTCTTTAATGCGATCCCGTAACTTCTTTTTAGGTTTAGTATCACCGTGTACATACGTGGCTACGTCACCTTCTTTACGAATCTTTGCATACGTAGATTTCTTTTTTGGTTCATTATTATTACTAAACGGTCGTTTTGCCTCATTCTGAAATTAAGATTGTAGTTAAAATAATGATTTTGTAGAGACCTGTATCAAACTACACGTTCAGTTTAAGAATAGTGAGCTAAGCAAACGACGTTTTGTCAAACAGGGAGGTCACCCAAAAATTGGCGGCAGTTTGCCTCATAGCGTTCGTATAAGGAAGCAAAATCTTATGTTTTGTCATATGTGTTGAAGATTACCACAAACTGACACAAACACAGTTTTTATGCAATCTCAGCAATCTCACGTCCGTGTTGGCGAAAACGTCGCTTTGCTTAAGCTCTATCTCTATTTTCTTCCAGGCACGGGCGTACATGGGGGCAGTAGCGTACTAAATATAACTTTACTTGTGGGGAGAGGCAGCAGTATTAAGGGGCAAAGTATTAAGCTAAATGACGCTTATAATCTTGTGAATCAGATTACATGATTCTGTATGGTGCGGCAATATGCATGCATCTGAATTGATATGACTTTGAATGCATTGAAAAAATCCTGCGTACGGCCCTGATTTCAGATTCAATTCATTAGTTTCCGGAGCAAAAATAAGAGGGCATTCCCTTGAGGGAGAACTGTCCTTAGATTATATTTCCTGTGTGTTTATTGTCTACATGCACCAACCACTACGTTTCAACCCCCATGTTGCCTTCCCCAATCACGACAACTTGACTAGAGAAAGTCAGTTCCCCTAAACACAGAATCGTCATATAGGCGTTCGACGGACTGAATTTTACTTCTTCCTATCACAAGATCATTTCTCACAGTTTTTAGTGCAAAGTTGCTTTGTGTGAAAAATGTCCACAAGAATACGATCACCTTTGACTGCGTGGCCATGTGCTCGTTTTGTTATTACGTGCGATTGGGTATCATAAATATTGGTCATACGATATACTTAATCTTGCTGCATTGGCCATTGCTTATATCAACTTTTCACTATCCTTTCTGAGTAAGCTATTAAGACAAAAGGCTGTGGTATGTACCTTTTTTTTCTCTTCAATCTCTAACTTTTTCTGCAATTCCTTTTTCTTTCTCTTACGTTGACCAATATTGTCAAGATAGAGCACTATCGTGTATTCAACAAGGACAGCAAATACAAACAGGAAACAACAGATAAGATACCAATCTATCGCCTTCACGTACGAAACCTGAAGAAAATGAAGATGCAAAATATACATAGTTTGGTGAGCCATGATTCCCATGAACAATGTTTGGAAAGAAAAAAGAATGCGGAGACGTAATGTGATAGTATTTGTAGTTTTCATTAAGAGTAGTATACTGCCTTTAGAATAAAGAAGAAAAAAATGGTCCTCCAAATAGCAGAATCTAGATTATAGTATTATACAAAGTTCATGGGAACAGCGCACTCTTGTTACTACATATAGCATCGTGCATGGATACCTGAAATTAAGGATCTGATTGGTTTCTTTGAAGCACCAAACTATGCCCTAGCTGATTGCGGCTTAGACATGTTAACTTTGAAATATTAAACATGATATTACCTTTGGCATAGAATTATTCAGAATATTTAGGATGGTCGTAGTAGTCAAAACTGAAGTAATCCCCAGTGTAACTCTTGCAGCCGTTGACTCGAGTGGAATACAAAATGAAATCCAAGATAAAACTACTATAAGTGCTGAGGGTGAATAAACATGGACTAAAAAATATCCCATTTTTCTTTTGATTGTAATTACAGCTCGAATCCCGCTCCAATTACCTACAAAATAAAATCGGGTGATAAGTTAGCAAAATGGACACAGCTTGCAGAACTCCAGGCTCATTGCCGGGCTCGACGCTGTACCATTGTCTCGTGTGCGCTCAAAGAACTGACTCTTATGAGTTGTACCCAGTCCAATCTCAGTCCACTATTCAATATATGTAATCGTTGACGACTGGGTACGAGTCAGCTCAAGGAAGCATGTTTTTATGATTTGCACTCTCACGTAAAAGTCAATGTTTAAAAGTCAATGGCCCAGAACATGTTTTCAAACCGGCCAGCCTTGTTAAGCAAATAGAAAGCTTCAATAAAATGCTCCTCACAAATATTGAAATTTAATGTAAGAAAAGACACTGTTCTGATATGTGACTGTCTACAGCATTAGGTGCAAACGACAGTAACAACTTACCAGACATGTACTCTGTGCGTAGTTGCATCGTGAGGGTTTCAGATATGTTATGTTGTGGTAAATTACGTAATGGAATTGCTAATCCACCATCTTTTCTTTCTTCCCAAACTAAAATCACTTCTCCTTCATTGTAGCTATCTAGAATATAATAAAAAAACTTTTTCAAGACATAAAAGTAGTTCTCAGAAATTTCTAACATTTTTGTTCTACGTTGACGTTGTCTTCAGAATTCTGCATAGTATGTTATCTCATTTAATTTCATCATTTTCATGCAAGTTTCAATGGTACGAAGGTCCGCACAAGTCGTGGATCTTGCAGTGTTCCACTAGAGTTTCCATTATTCAAACCTTTAGAAATGTATTGTATTTAACCTATTCAGACGCAGGTTTATTAGGGATGGACCATTAGAAAAGTGGTAGGGCAAAAACAACAAAAAAATTATTCCCAGAAAAAAATTAGGGGAAAAAATCTTCCCAGGCATAGTGCAAAACAAAATTTCCTAGCTTGGAAGATAAGCCTATAAATTTCACTTAAAAAAATATTTCCAGCCATCAAGTGAGGAAAAAAATTCTTCTATAGGTGTACAAAAAAAAATATTGCCTCTTAGAAAGTCCCCCCCCCCCGCATCACTTTTCTAATGGTCCGTCCCTTAGCATAGCATGACCAGTTACCATAGCTAGCTTCGCCAATGGTTGGACGATGTTGGACGCCTTTGAACGGGACTTTAATTTTGTCATCTTTTATTATCAAGACACAAACACTAAAGTTATTTCTTTCCAAAATGTATCAACTTATGGAATAGTTCGCCAACAAGTCTCAACCCACATTAGCCAAGTTACTCAAGGACTACTACTTATCACAAAGAAAATGTTCTGTCGTACCAGCCGTATTAACCATTTCAATTTCTCGTTCATCGACGTTTATTCTTAGTTTAAATAGGCAAACTATAATATTTATAATTAATTGGTCTATGCAACCTAAGTATTTTTCTCATTTCAGTCTAGAAGGGAGTAATTGTCAGTGGGGCTTACGGTCTGATTTCTCTTCCTGCCATAATTATTATATTGTACATGTTTTCACTTCGAGTATGACTGGATGGCATGGAGAACAGTGGGACTTTCAAAACAATGAATTGAAAAGACAATGGAACAACCGATCACTGGATCGTGACTGGATGACAAGGAGAACATTGGGATTTGAAAGACATTCGAGCATGTACGGAAAATTTCATACCGTTATAGAAACACGCTTCCTGACCAATCAACGCTAACTTCCCATAAATGTTATATTACGTTATCTTGTGTATAAACAATATAATTACTTACAACTTTCTATATCCAAGTTGCATTTCTGCACGTCATTTGGAAACATCCTCAGATCCATATGACACGATGGCTTGACTGTCACCCTGGGGTAGTAACAAGCATTTGCGTCAAACACGACTTTATTTAAAGAACCTGGCACGAGGCTAAAACTTACCTTGAATTAAAATGAACTCCTCCATCCGTGCCAATTTCCAGAAGTTTATTTTCAAGTGTGACTTTATGAAATTTTGATTCTTTCGAGTTGACAAAATATGTATCTGGTATCCATATTTTTTCTAATATTCTATTACTTATTGTAAACGTTTTGTTCTGCATGTGAGCTAGTCTTGGATCTACCCACAGTTGACGTAAAAAGAAATCCATTTTAAAGTCCTATAGAAGAAAAAAATCATCATACAGGCAGGGCCGCCGATAAGGGGGGCTGGAGGGGGGGGGGATAATTTGGTTTTCGCGTGATATCGAAAATGACAAGGCCTCGGTTTGTGTTATTTATGCTGAAAACGTAGCATTCAATCCCTGAATGGAGAGTCGCCAAGAGGCTGTGCGCGGGGGGAGGGGGGTTTCCAAGTGGCTCCAATGACGTCATAATTGTAAAAATGGAGAAGTAGTGTTTTACAATATATTTAATAATCATTGGATGAGGTTGAGCGTGATATCGGATCATTATGTCAAGATTGAGGTAAAATTGAAAATCATGAAAGCGGTAGAGTTACCTATATAAATATCTCGGACCGGTCATTATATTTATGGCGGGGGGTGACACCAAAGAGAAAAGAATTGGGTAAACACAATTTTGAGTGAGTAAAAGGTTGGATGCTGAATAAAAGCAAAACAACTCAGGGGTTAGCTAAAACAAATGTATCATCATGGTCAATCAGAGTCAATATCCTGATCATTTTCCGATTTGTCAGGAGACAAACGGTCTCTTCAAAGAAAGTACATGTGTAGACAACATGAAACCTTAGTCTGCAGAAAATTACACAAGCAGTTATCAAACTCGTGTCACAGAAGTTGTGAAAGACATGTCTGACAACTGAGTAAATATTCTTTTGTAAAGTTTTTGGCCATGAGGGGTGGGTATCTATTTTCTAATTGATATCTGAGGTTGGGTACAGAGAAATTTTGGCTTTTTAATGGTTGGGTCAGCAAAATGTTTAGCAAGAAAACATTTCTCTTCGGTCACCCCCCGCGCCATGACCGGACGTCCCTTACTGCGTGGCCGGGTGTCGACTTTCCGCAGGGCTGCCAACGGATATCCATTGGAGTTAGTGTTCTCGTATCGTACAGTTATCCGAATGTCTATATGTTCATTGTTATAGATACATGTTATATATCATACCATATCTATGACATTAATAGAATCCAGAGCTATCACCCATAAACCAACTTGCACTTTAACAGGTTTACCTGAAGACAAACAACCATCATGTAAATATTTGAAAGTGCAAGAAAAGTATTCCTGTTGAAACCGCAGAGAGCTACTTTAATAACTTACCGCCAATATTCGGTCTAATTCTTCTATCATATGTATCTTCGTGGAGCATTTCATCAAGTAATGCCGTGATATCTTCGTGATTTGACGCTGTTCGTTTGCGTCTACTGAGAGTATTGTCACTTTGTGATTGATGGTTTTCCGTTCGACTGTTGTTCGTTACTTGACTGTTGTTCGTTACTTGACTGTTGTTGGTCATTTCTTGGCCTTGTGTGACCTTTGTTCCACTAAATGTGAAACATATAGATTACTGGGAAAATGTTTACTGAAAGACGAAATCTATGTACATTTAGCTCAAAGTTGAAAGGGTATAAGGATTAATCAGTCAAAATTAGTGACGTACTCTGCGGTTAGAAATTCGGCAGAGTACTCTGCATGCCCATCCTTAGAGCTAGCATAAAGTAACGAATAATAGGCATGTTTTCAAAACTTATATAGAGATTTTTTCAGATATAGAACGATGTAAATTTCTCTAATACTATAAAAGCATGCAGGCCTGGATATAGATTTATATAGTATATAATTATATCTTACCTCGCCTTATTTAGTTCTGTCATGTCACAAATAATGGAGAATATAAAAATAGTCTTGAATATATCTTGCCATCCAAATGAATTCCACAATAGCATCTTTGGGACTTCCATGCATTCAGTTAGCAAAGTTACTTTCTCCAGAGGGCATATAAAGAGATAGCTTTTCCATTACCTAGAAAATGTAAAATATGTAGGAATGAAAGAAGAATGCATGAAGAATCAAATTCTGTTATTAGTAATAACTTATTACAACTGTATTTTACGTATATATTTTTAAATTTGTTAAAACTGCAAAAGTTGACCTCTCATAAGTAGACAACAATAGAGAACTGATTTGAATACTTGAAATGCAGCTGACGAAAAAATAAAATAAATAAATATATAAATGGCATGTCGTTTGGGAACTGCAATCCGCGTTCGTTAACAGGATAGATCGATCTCTGTTAGAGGTGTTCACAAGATAGATCCACTGTATAGTACTATATTCTATAATCAGAAACAATTGCAAAAGCATGCATAGTTATTTTCATATACAATCAAGCAAAAACCGTTCTTGCTTGAGTAACCTTATAGACTTCAGCCAATAGAATTACCTTCTAGATCTTCAATATGAATACCATTATGATTAAATACGATGAAGCGACAAAGGACACAGAATGATGTCTTTCTTAATTGTTTCTACTATTAAAAATGTTATTATAACAGTACCTAAATACAGTCACAAGATATCGTACAATGCGGTAATGCCTATACAGGTGTTTTAACCACAATCCATCAACAAACAAAATATATTCCCTGCATTTTTAGAGGCAACATATATTATATAAGGCTTGCCCGCAACAAAATTGTTAGTTTTATTTGCAGCATTCATTTTATACAAGCCCGACCCGCACTGGCAATGACAAGAAAAATAAACTCACTTCAAAATATGCATCAGAAATTCGTATGAAATTCATTATGACATGTGTTAGTGCATGTACGTTAAATCTTTGCATGTGGCACAGTGACGTGAGCTTGCGTGGTTTTATATACCATGGCAAATACAGAGAATCTGCCCCACTCTGCTATCATATTTAAATGTGGTCAATCCCCATTCTATTATAGACAGGAAAAGTAGCATTAGTATAATTAGTTTTAGTTTTGCGGCAAGAATCTTAGTTGAACAAAACAAATATCTCGCTGCAGGTGCCCGGACCACAAGTTATCAACAACCAACTTTTTCAGTACTGCCCGCAGAGTTCCAGAGAAGTCGATCTTAAAAATAGTTCTTTCATGTTATATAGTAATTAGATCTAAACCAATTAATATTTTAAATATTTTTATCAATTTCGAAATGAATTTGGTTTGTGCTTTTTAACCTTTTAAAATGAAGTCTCCGAGCCGTATTATAAATTGAATTTTTATATACATGCATGTATGGATCAAATATGACTGAAAAACTATAAGTTAAGCTTAAAACTATAAGTTAAAAACTATAAGTTAAGTTATATATAAGCTCCAGATTATATGTTTTTTATAGTTTATACTATTCTGATCGACACTGCAAATTACAAAGAAAAATCCGTTTACTTGAGCGGGCTTTGGGTTTCTCAGTTGAATTGTTGGTTTTGCACTTAAATTGGATGAGACTCGCTACCTGCAATCCCCGTTGACTCAATAGCTCAATGGGGATAGCTCAATGGGGATAGCTCAATGGGAATAGCTCGACTGATGGGGATAGCTCGATGGGGATAGCTCAATGGGGATAGCTCAATGGCCAGATAGCTCAATGGTCGGATAGCTCAATGGAGATAGCTCAATGGGGATAGCTCAATGGGAATAGCTCGACTGATGGGGATAGCTCGATGGGGATAGCTAAATGGGGATAGCTCAATGGCCAGATAGCTCAATGGTCGGATAGCTCAATGGGGATAGCTCAATGGCCGGATAGCTCAATGATCGGATAGCTCAATGGGGATAGCTCAAAGGGGTTGGCTCAATGACAATGGGGTTAGCTCAATGGGTAGAGAGGCGATCTAGAAACTATAGAAGATGCGAGTTTTAATCCTGCTCGAGACAACGAATTTTTCGTTGTACTCTGCATGCAGTTCAGGATAATATTAAAAAGTAGGCTACATTTTTTAATATCTCTGAGGATTGTTCTAAAATAGATCATATATACTATACTGGGTATAAACTGGTATTAATAATTTGATATGAGTATGTATTGCTTGGTTTGAAAGGCTAGACTTTGGCAATTGAGGAAAGACCTGTATGAATAAAATACTCGGTGTTTGGTTTGGCGATATATCAAAATATATATGCCTTCACGATTGTGTACTCGCCTATATATAAAGATAATGAAAGCGTCATTGTGCCCATTTATTTGACATTCAAAAACAACCTATATATTCAAAAAATGAATTCACGCATAGAAATACTCATGCACAGTGCATAACACTCCACAGCAACGTTTATCGTTTATACTAAATCAAAAATTACATAACTTGGCGTGCATGTCAGCAAAAAATTTGAAGTTTTTGGAATCACGAATTATAAGATTAAGATAATCTTCCAAATGCTGTGAACAATATAGCAAATCCTCTTGATTGTATGCATTCATCACCAGTGTTTTACGAGACTTATAAGCATTTATTGCTAGCAGATTAAATGCAGCTTACCATGGAGTGAAAGTCTCTTCGTATAGAAATTCCCTGGTGTCATTCATTATCAAAGCTTAAGGTATAACTCTACTCCATCTACTAACAAACTGTGTTCTTCCATTACCTTTCGTGCTCGTTACAATATTTAAATAGCTAAACTCTTTGTGGAGCTTAGGAAATGCTTCAGGTATCTTTTCATCAATTATTAATCATCCAAAATAGACCTCCCAATGAAGCCAACTTGAAATCTGTAAACCTTGCAATTACAGGTAAATGAATATCCCACGAAATAAACTCAAATCTTCACATAATTAAAAAGTTAATGGACAAATACTTTCTGCCGAGTAATTTAAAATTGACTGCAGAAATGCTTTGAAAGTTTAAATGAATCCCTTAGGATTTAGGGATAAAATATGGATTGAAAGTTACTGAAATTATATTATACGTAACACATGATTGAAACGTACAGGCAAATGAATCAATACTGCAGTGGGATGTCAGTGCCGTCTCACGCTCTTAATGACTCATCTAGACTATATAGTTGTATATTAATGGTATACTACTTCGTGTATCTAAATATATAGTCATCCTGTTTATAGCCTTCGGCTTCGGCTTTGTGTTAACAGCGTCAGATCTGTATATATGCTTTTATATATCGTTCAGTTTCCAAATTCTAAAATTTGGAAAATTAACGGGACCTTCATTAAATTTATGAAATATTGTTTAGACGTGACCAAAGATGGCAACTTATAATCACTAAATCGCATTTAGTAATTACTGCATGCAAATATTATTTCCATTGTGTACTGCTCCACGAAACATTTTGTACGGAAAGTGACATGCATGTCAAAAATGCATGTCATGACTAAATGGTCCTCCTGACTGCATGGAGCATGGCTATGATTGGAGTTGAAATTTGATAAAAGCCGGTTTTCCACCAGGCGGAATTTTGCACGCGGAGCAATTTTTCTTTGTCAAAGAATCTAATCTTTGCCCTAAATACTCTATTCACCTGCAAGTTAACTGATATATAACTGAACAGAGCTAATCGGACCCGAAGAGCTAGACAAAACTCACCGAAAGGCATCTAGTATGTGTTTCGTTTAGGTTATAATGCATTTATCAGTCATGCATGCATGCGTATCAATATATACAGGGTGTCCCAAAAAACCCGAAAACTATTGAAATCACTTATTGTTAAAATTTGAATGCCCTACAAAAAAGCTGAACGTAATATGCGTAAAATATTGACAAGGTTCATGTAATATTAAAATTTAGTTAAGAACATCTCCTTGTAAAGTGCGCGATTCTCTGCTCTTGGGAATTTAAAGCAGCTTCTTAAATAGTTTCTTTATGCATAAAATTTACCAGCAGAGTGCTAAGGCATTCAAATTCTAACAATTAAATTGTTATTGGTGATTTCAATAGTTTTCGTTTTTTTGGGACACCTGTATTGCATGCAAAGAGTAAATAAAGAACATGCCATGTAGCTATATTTTTGACTGCATGTATGATGTTACTCTAGAGTGCCTCTACACCGGGCAAGCAGAAAAGTAACCTGACAGCTGTGGGATTGAATAAACAACTTTGTTTAAATAGGGTAAAAACACTGACACTAGTAATATATATAACTGAATTTCGAGGATGATGACCAAGAAGTTTTGTGGCTCCTGCTTGGTAAAACCGAAAAGAACCCCATGCATGCAGATATTTCAGCGTCATCATGCATATTTGTTAGTGTTTATTTTCCACCACGGCAGTTGTTGAAAATGAATACCTTACCGAGGGACATCATTTTGTTCTGCGACATTTTCCATCGCGTCGACTGGTGTGTTTGTAATTGGAGATTTCAAACAAATGAAGTTAAACTTTAACCTAAATTCTGAAAAACGGACAAGCAGTGGCGTGGCGTTATATCAGGGGGCCCCCGGTTCAAAATTTTCGAAGCCCCCCTAGTATAGAAGTGCCAGAGGCACGAGTTGAGCACCGTATATGCACGAGTTTTCTAGGGGTCCAGGGCATGCTCACCTGGAAAATTCTGACTCTCTGAAATGCCATTTCCCGGACTTTGGGGAGAGATTTTACAGAATTCTGATGGTCAGAAAACGACATTGTGACATATCAGAGGCCCTGGCCAATGTTTTTGCTCTACAGCCTGAGCCTGGGGGCCCCAATTTGGCCCATTGGGGTTGGGGAGCCCCGGGTTCGCCCGGTCCGAGCCCATAGTAGTTACGCCACTGCGGACAAGATCACCAAGGTCCAAGAAGAGATAATAATGTGCTAGACCAATTTTTTACGAACATGCCAAACTTATACAATGAGGTCATACATTTGCCTCCTATTGGTCGTTCTGATCATCATCAATGTCTGCTATATAATCCAAGAAAGGACAGAACATCAAAGCTTTCTCACGTAAAGCACATGTGATGAAGCCAAGTAAGTCGAAGTCATTATTGATTAAGCTAGATCAAGAGGAATCAATTTTCAATTGGCAAAATGTTGATGACAAAGTTAACAAATTTACAACTATTGCATGCATGTTGTAA